TATATATATATATATATATAGATATAGATATATATATATATATAGATTTGTGGTCTGTAAGAGATCTAAAAATAGTATCTTACGCTAGACTGGAGTGTGTATAAAAAAGACAGTATGCGTGAAACTGGCGATATATATATATAAATAACATCAGGGTGAACAATACGCAACTAACTCTTACAATAGTATACAAACGATCGTCTCAGACCACATGCACGTCTTCGCACAAACACATGCTTAATATCTCACCATGCAAATCTTTATTCTACTCTTCTACTACTAATAGTACTAGTACTAATAATACATCTTCAGTAATAATAATACATCACTAGTTCTAACAAACATTCCTCGTAATAATAAACAACCTAGTAACAATAATACATGCCTAGAAATAATAAAACATCCCTAGTACTAATAGCACACCACTAGTACATATAACACTTCCTCATCATACTATAGTTTAATATCGACATATACACCCACCCCACCTGATAGTAGTAGTTTCTCGCTACCTCTGGATCAACGATTGCCTTGTGCAGTATGGTGTATTATGATGCACATACCCATGGTAATACAAACATACACACATACATACATGCTTGCTTGCCTATACACATACATACATCCGTAAGTACTCATATACGTCGGTGCAGAATTGTATAGTCACAGATCCAGAATCGACATATTCCTCGATTCGACAGTATATATATCAGCACAGGGGGTGGTGTGGTAGGCAACCCCTCATTAACCTTAGCAACAGTACTACACATACGCACCCTGCCACACGGTCACGCACCTGATAGTATCGTGTATTCTGATTTCTCGCTCAACCGCCGCTTTATGGTTCGCCCACACCACCAGGCAAAACAGAAAGCCAATGACCAACGTCCAGAAAAAAATCACGGGCAGCATGCGCACAATGGGATTGACTGGTTTGGGCGCGCATTGCAGCCACAGAGGTGCCGTTTCTGCCAAACCTATTGACAATTGGGTAGAAATGTGGGATGAGAAGATTGTTAATCGGGTAGAAAAGATAAGAGAATTGTTTGTTAGTCGGGTAGAAAAGTCGGGATAAGAGAATTGCTAATCGGGTGGAAAAGTGGGATCAGAGAATTGCTAATCGGGTAGAAAAGTGGGATAAGAGATTTATTAATCGGGTAGGAAAGCGGAACAAGAGAATTGTTAATCGGGTAGAAAAATAAAACTAGAGACTTATTGATCTGGTGAAAAGTGGAATAGGGGGCTGCGATAAGCATAGCTCAAACTACAGTCACTGGCAGCATCAGCAATAGAGCATTATCCGGTTTTTGAAGGCGTGCTGTTTCTGCTGAAACTATTGGCCATCGGGCAGAAAAGTAATACAAGGGAATTGCTAATCGAGTTAAAAGTGGAATAAGAGAATGCGATGAACATATAAAGCAATAGCCGAATATGGCGCGCATTGCTGTGAAAAGAGTGCCGTTTCTGCCAAAACTATATATGAACAGAAAGAAATACCACAACAGCCAATGAATTCGCAGAGATTGCGAGCTAGGGAGCAGAATGGGATTTAAAGGCTAACGCCAATTGTATGCCATTCTGGCCTATACCCACTGTATGCGATATGGGAGTTGAACCTAATCGAGGATACTGTATATTGAGCAGTTTTAGGGTTTTAGGGCTTAAGGTTTAGTCTAATTTTTAGGCTTTAGGGTTTAAAACATTTTGGGTTTAAGGTTTTAGCCAGATGTGGGAAGTACAGCGTACGACTGAATATGTAATTTCAAAGTCACCATTGGGTCCTATGCATATCATGTGAAGTCTGTCACATTAAACCATATGAATAAGCACCATTGTGAAACCCCAACAAAAACCCTGAAACCCTAAAACCCAGCTTGAAAGCAAACGGCACAGCAATGTATATACAATAGAAATATAATTGTATGATATGACCGAATAAGCGCTTTGAACATACTTGGACAGACCGCAGGCGCAGTATTGTAGATAGAATTGACATATGGAAAGTACCAACAGCTGACCTGTACACATGCAGTTACTAATCAAAAAACCGCTTTGTACTTTTGAGACCGTAGGCACAGATAGAAATAATTGACGAATGAAACGTCCAAACATTTGATATTGTCCAATCGCATAAGGGCATGTTTCTGCCGACATACCATTATCCGGTCCGTATGAGGTGAGGACATTGGCAAGGGGTATACCTGTCATTGAGGCACAAGCGACCACTTTCAACTTCACAAATGAGAGAGTGGCGGATGGGAGTATTGGATTAGTTACAACTGGGATAACAACGAAAGCTGTCCTACAATATATACCGATGGCGTCTGACAGTGCTAGTACAATATATGGATATATATATATATATATA